TTTTTGTTTTTCTTATTACACTTTTTTTTTGTTCATTTTTTCTTTCTTCATTTCTTTCGCGTCAATTTTAATTTTTTGCTTTCTTTTTGCTCTGTACATTTTTTCTTTCTTTCCGTTTCGTTATAATTTTTCTTTTCCTTCTTTTTCAGTTAATTTCATTCCTCATCTTTTTGTTTGTTTCCTCGTTTCTTTTCTTTCTTTCTTTCTTTCTTTCTTTCTTGGAAACTTTTTCTTTCTTTCATTCTTTCTTTCTTTATTTCTTTCTTGGAAACTTTTTCTTTCTTTCTTTCTTTTTTTCTTTCTTTCTTTCTTTCTTTCTTGGAAACTTTTTCTTTCTTTCTTTCTTTCTTTCTTTCTTTCTTGGAAACTTTTACTTTCTTTCTTTCTTTCTTTCTTTCTTTCTTTCTTTCTTTCTTTGAAACATTTTCTTTCTTTCTTTCTTTCTTTCTTTCTTTGAAACCTTTTCTTTTTCTTTCTTTCTTTCTTTCTTTCTTTCTTGGAAACTTTTTTCTTTCTTTCTTTCTTTCTTTCTTTCTTTCTTTGAAACTTTTACTTTCTTTCTTTCTTTCTTTCTTTCTTTCTTTCTTTCTTTCTTTCTTGGAAACCTTTTCTTTCTTTCTTTCTTTCTTTCTTTCTTTCTTTCTTTCTTTCTTGGAAACTTTTTCTTTCTTTCTTTCTTTCTTTCTTTCTTTCTCCTAGTATATTCCAATATTTCTTTCTTTCTAATTTTTCTTATCTTCTCTTTCCCTTTTATTATCTCTTTCCATTCTCTGCTTATTTTTCTCATTCACTTTCTATTTCATCTTCGTAAACTTTCATTACCCTCTCCTTTGCATGTATTTACAATCATTCGTACCCTCCCGGCCAGATGAGCAGCGATTGATGTTCGAACTCACAACACTGCTTTGCTGCAACTGCTACCTTAGTTATGCATCAATTACTCGAAGTCTGCGATTTAAAATTCTCACGAACCGTTTGCGAAAAGCAATGTACTACGGTTGGTGCCCGCCGGCCATCTTTTCAATTGGATGGTTTGCCTATCATTATTTAAAATCAATAAGTTATCATATGAATAGTTACGCACAATGAAAAGCTTGCATTAACGCATCGCGAAAGGGAAGCTGAAATTGACACACACACAAACACCCATACGCATGCATTAATATAAGAAAATACGAGTTAAATGGCTTTCCGGTTTGACAGCACTTTTACTTACAGTTCAACTTTGAGCAAAAGTAAAATGTTATGGCGTTTAGAAAAAAAGAGTAGTTTTACCAGATAGTGTATTAAAAAAAATGTTAAGTTCTTCTTGGGTCGTGTTCCTTCATGACCTACTAATTAACCCATAGCTGGGGGAGAAGATGTGTTTTCATGCTTTCCCCGAAGGTATTTATAAAATGTTTATTTTCAAGATATGTAATTAGACTTCTAGACATGTATCAATAAAATAATATTAACGCCACCAAACTCTTCTTCTTAATTGTGGCTCTCCACAATTTCCATGTCATTTGTAGATCTTAATAAAATTTGTCATTTTGTTATCTCTCCCACATCTTATTCCGCCAGCTATTTACTCAATAATCTTCTTCTTCTTCTTCTTCTTCTTCTTCTTCTTCTTCTTCTATGTGTCATGTCCCTTCAGGACGTTGGCGATCATGGCACCCCACAATTTCATGTCCTTTGCAGCTCTTAATTAATTTTGGTCTTTTTCTTATCTCTCCTAAACCCTCTTCCGCCATCCATTTACTCAAGCTCCTTAATCATCTTCTTCTATGTGCCGTGTTCCTTCAGGACGTTGGCGATCATGGCTCTCCACAATTTCCTCTCCTTTGTAGATTTAATAAATTTTGTCTTTTTGTTATATCTCCTAAATCTTGTTCCGGTATCAATTTACTCAATATCATTCTTCTTCTTCTTCTTCTTCTTCTTCTTCTTCTTCTTCTTCTTCTATGTGCCGTGTCCGTTCAGGTCGTTGGTGATCATGGCACTCCACAATTTCCTGTCCTTTGTAGCTCTTAATAAATGTTTCTCGTTATCTCTCCTAAACCTTGTTCTGCTATCTATTTACTCAAGATCATTCTTCTTCTATGTTCCGTGTCCCTTCAGGACCTTGGCGATCATGGCTCTCCACAATTTCCTCTTAATAAATTTTCTCTTTTTGGCATCTCTCCTAACCCTTGTTCCGTCATCCATTTACTTAAGCTCATTCTTCTTGTGCCGTGTCCATTCAGGACGTAGACGATCATGGCTCTTCTCCATTTCCTGTTTTTGTATCTCTTAATAATTTTTGTCTTTGGGATGTTGGCGTTCATGGCTCTCCACAATTTCCTGTCCTTTTCTCTTTTTGCCATATCTAGACAAAACCCTGCTCCGCCACTGATTCCCTTCTGCTCACAAGGTAAACTGTGCGTTGTTTTACTCTGTCCATCTTATATTTAATTTCTACTGTGAGTGTTAAATTTTCCACGTCTTCTTTTCTCATTATGTACTCTAGATATTTCATCTGTCTGTTCGTGATGTTAATCATGTGTCTCCTTTATGTAGCCATTTTCTCGTGTTCGGTCTATGATATTCACAGCATGTTCACAGTGTAGAAACGCATTTATTTTGTTCCAAGTCTCTTCTTCATCTGTGAGGAAATTGTCCAGCATTCACTTCCACAGAAGAAGACTGATATTACGTAACATTTCAGCACTCTTTGCTTTGTTTCTATCGCCTCAAGTTTGTTCTCCTTCTGTGTGGAAGAGGTTCATCATTCACTACCATAGAGGAGGACTGATATTACGTAGCAGTTCAGAACTCTTTTCTTTGTTTCTCGTGATTCAGGCCTCTTTGTCATTGGTGAAAAATTGCCTAACATTTGCTGTCATACAAGAGGACTGATATTACATAACAGTTCAGTACTCTTTTCTTTGTTTCTCTTGCTCCAAGTCTCTTCTTCATCTTTGAGAAGATTGTCCAGCATTCACTGCCATATTGGAGGACTGATATTACATAACAGTTCAGTACTCTTTTCTTTGTTTCTGTTGCTCCAAGTCTCTTCTTCATCTTTCAGAAGATTGTCCACCATTTACTGCCATATAGGAGGACTGATATTACATAACAGTTCAGTACTCTTTTCTTTGTTTCTCTTGCTTCAAGTCTCTTCTTCATCTTTCAGAAGATTGTCCACCATTTACTGCCATATAGGAGGACTGATATTACATAACAGTTCAGTACTCTTTTCTTTGTTTCTCTTGCTTCAAGTCTCTTCTTCATCTTTCAGAAGATTGTCCCCCATTTACTGCCATAGAGGAGGACTGATATTACATAACAGTTCAGTACTCTTTTCATGGTTTCTCGTGACTAAGGTCTCTTCTTCATCTATGAGGAGAGTGTTTGTATATTTACTGCTATATAGCAGGACCGATAAGTTCTGGCAGTTCAGTACTCTTTTCTTTGTTTTAACGATATTTTCCTGTTTCTTAATACTCTGCTTAGCATTCGGAAGGCATCATACCCTATTCGAATGCCCCTTCTCTTTTCAGTGTCACATTTTCCATCCCGTTCTGAAATGCTTCCCAGATACCTAAATTGTTGCACCTGTTTAATTTCGTTATCCCCAATTTGTAATTTTCAGGTTGGGCTGTCCATTTTTGTATCTTCTTGCAATTGATGTTTAGTCCTTTCTTCTAGCTTTTCTTTACTACTTTCTGTAGAAATTCTTATCAGTTTCTTTCTGCGTCTGATATCAACACCAAGATGGTTGGCATATCTTTTGTTGGTAAGATCGTAGCTTCCAATAATGAGTCCTTGGATGATTTTTATTTCTCTCAAAATGGCCACGGTGTATAGGTTGTTTGATTTTGTTTAGCGGCATAACTAAACCTCTATGTGATATTTAATACCCTACACTACATATTTTGTAGATAATTTTACGTTTTCAGGGTAAAGTTATATTTTTTTTTAATATCTAATTTGTAGATCATAAAACGTATTGTTCGTAATTTAACTATAAAAATGTATTTTCACACTCTTAGTGTTGCATTGATTGTTATTTTGTTTTTAAAATTTGTCGTTTTCTTATAATAATGTACCGTTGAATTTTGTTTGGTGGGATTCACTATTTGTCCATAGATCTGACCCTAACAGTTGCTACCACCCTGGCTCCTGATTGACCTGGGAACAACAGCAATTACAGGTTGATTCTACGCTCCTCAGAACCACCAAGTTTCCGTTCAGATGATTTGCTTTTTATTGTCATACCCATGACGTCGCTGTATAGGTTGAATAAGTCTGGCGAGAAGAAGCATCATTGTCTTAAGCCCCTTTCTATTTTAGTAAAATTTACTGAAATCATTTTCTATCTCTAGGTATGCGGTTTGCTGCCAGTATAGTTCTGTAGGTATGGACTTTTATGTAATCGAACCTTTTGGGGGGGATTTAGCGGGGGGACTTTTTTACTTTTTAAAAAATTTTTGGACATTTTTTTTTTACTTTTTTTCTGTTTTGGGACTTTTGGAAGGTAATTTTTAACTCATGTACTTTCTTTTAGAAAATTTTACGTTTTTTTTTTCTTTGTTGTGGGGGGGATTTTTATGATATCCTTCCGACAGTTTAGCTAGCAGTACCAAGAATTCCTAGTGACATACTTAATCTCTTTTGTATATTCTCTATAAAACGTATAAACCTTATAAACACCTTTTTATCTTTTTTTTTCCAAAAAGAGTTTGCATTTTGCTTTTAAATCTTAATAAATCGTTCACTCGCCAGTAATTTACAATCTCGTGATGAGATGCATTTGATACGCATCGAAACACGACAGCAATTGTGCATCGATTTTTACATTTTTCCGATGAAATATCCTGTAATAAATAATATTGCTCTACTTTGAATTGAACCCTGTTTTAAATTAAATGTTACGAACATTGGAAGTGTACTCGATTCGTTCGCATCGTACGGGAATATATATATATATATAAACAGATCGATATGAAAAAGATGAGATAGATACGAAAAAATTATATATATATATATATATATATATATAGATAGATAGATAGATAGATAGGTAGATAGATAGATAGATAGATAGATAGATAGATAGATTTGAAAAAGCTGAGATAGATCAATAGATAGATATAAAAATGAAATGACACAGATAGATCGATCAATCAATATATATATATATATATATATATATATATATATATATAGATAGATAGATAGATAGATAGATAGATAGATAGATAGATAGGGAGCAGATTGTGATAGATATGGATAGATAGAAAAACAGACAGACAGATAAGCCATAACCAAATTTCTTTAGGCATGAAATGATAAAAATAGATATTTTTACTCGGCACCATATAAGAGATCACCAAAAGCCAAAGACAGAAACCAAAATTAAAATGCGTATCAAACCTGAAGTCCAAAATGGAGAAAAGGCTGTGAACTTTTCTACACATCTAATCCATTCCAATACGAATCTGGAAAATTGGCCCTTTTTTTTAAGCTTCCCGGACGAGTGGGAAATTATTATTATTATTATTATTATTATTATTATTCGCCTTACTTTTATCAGATTATCTGTTTTCTTTCATTTAACCAAATTCATTATCACGCATCAATATCAATTTAATGGGCTTTTCTTTTGGTTTTTGTCTTTCGGACAGAAACAAAAGTCTCGCATCTTCACCAAAATCTATTCTATTTCCTCTGCTCGCAGATGCCATGTCAATTTATTTTCTCTTAAGTCTTCAGACTTCCCGATCTTTACTACATATTTATCTATTTATATTTTTTTCTTCAGTTATTCTTGCCCAAGAATTAATTCCCAGGATTGCAGAACGGAATATATCCTTACCGAACGAAATAATTTAAGGAAGCATTTCCTTTATTTTTGTCTTTTTGATTTCTTCAGTATTTCTTTGGTCTTGCAAGATTCCATTCATCGTTTTTATTAAGCCATCTATCACCGTCATTTCTTCCAACTTAAATCATTCTGCTCGCCATATTTTTTCTAGTTCCATTAATTCATTAAAATTTATAACCTCTGACACCAGTTTTATCTACCCCCTAAATTTACCAATATTAACCGAATACAGCGTCAGCCCAACTAGAAGAGGCGATAAAGAATATTTTCCCATAGAGAAAAAAACAATATTTGGTAAGAATATGATGCTTAACAAATATGAATTGTATTACGCGGACATTTCAAGTAATGTCTAAAGGTCTAATTACATATCCTGAAAAAAAATTCCATATATAACCTCGGAAAATATACAAATCCAAACCTTACCCCCATCTATGGGTTAATTAGTAGGAAATTACCAAGAAATCATTATTAACCAAACCAAACTCTTCTTCTTGATCATGGCTCTTCACAATTTTCTGTCCTGTGCGGCTCTTAATAATTATTGCCTTTTTGTTACCTTTCCTAAACCTTGATCCGCCATCCATTTATTGAAGCTCATTCTTCTTCTTCTATGTGCCGTGTCCCTTCAGGACGTTGGCGATCATGGCTCTCCACAATTTCCTCTCCTTTGTAGCTCTTAATAAATTTTGTCTTTTTCTTATCTCTCCTAAACCTTGGTCCGCCATCCATTTACTCAAACTCATTCTTTTCCTCCTATGTGCCGTGTCCCTTCAGGACGTTGGTGGTCATGGCTCTCCACAATTTCCTGTCCTTTGTAGCTCTTAATAATTTTTGTCTTTTTCTTACCTCTCCTAAATCTTGTTCCACCATCCATTTGCTCAAGCTCATTCTTCTTCGATGTGCCGTGTTTCTTCAGGACATTAGCGATCGTGGCTCTCCCCAACGTCCGATTCTTTATAACTCTTAATAAACTCTATCTTCTTAATCTCCCTTAAACCTTGTTCTGCCATCCATTACACAAGGTAAGTAGGTATGTTTCAAGTGTTATTTTTGCCTTTAATCTGTCCTGTGAGTCTCAGATTTTCCAAGCACTCTTTCCTCATTATGAATCCGAAAAATATCAACTGCCTGATGGTAAGTATAAGCCTCACTTTTGTTTTGTTCGGTCCATGGTATTCTCAGCATCTTTCTGTCGGGCAACATTTCTTTTCTTCATCTGTGAGGAGATTGTCCGGTGGTCACTGCCATATTATAAGACTGATATTACGTAATAGTTCAGTGCTCTTTTCTTTTTGTTCCAACGATAATTTTCCATTTCTTAGTACTTTGCTTAGCTTCTGGAAGGCATCTTTGTTTATCAAAATACGTCTTCAATTTCTGTGTCACACTTTCCGACCTTGTTAAAACACTTCCCAGTTATTTAAATTGATGTTCTTGCTTATTTTGAGATTTCCAATTTGTAATTTGAATGTTGGACGGTTCTCTTTTGCTAACAACCATGCATTCCGTTTCCTTGCAAATGATCTTTCGTCCTTTCTTCTGGCTTTCTTTCTTGTTGTAGAGTGAACGAAAAATTTTTCTTCCTTCGTATGAGAAACGAATCCCTTGTTGCCAATGTCTTGTTGAGTAGTTTTCACAGTGGAGTTTTGTCTTTCACTGAGTCGGTCCTAAAAGGGTTCGACGTACAAAACATTAGGAACTTGAAATAATAGTTAATGACGCAGCAATCTAGTTGTGGTGGTTGATACTTTAAGGTCCGAAATCGACTGACTCACCAACTCACTCTGAGCCCCCCTGACGACTGCTACTACTACTACTTATTATCTGTGGGAGAGTCTATTAACAATAGAATAGGTATGTTCCGGTATAACACTTCACTACTTTCTCTAGGCATTTTTGTAGTCCTTTATGTCTCAACACTGAGTCATTTCAATATATTGTTAAGATTGTAGTCACCAATAATGAATCGTCGTACACCCCGGCTCTCACCATGGGTTAGGAAATTCTCAAGGAAACCAGCTGCCTCAAACAATGTCAAATTTTTCCCATGATGGGCTGGGAAGTCAGAAGACGTGGAAGCCTTTGTTATGCCAAGTTCATTGTGAGGATATTATTAACTCTCTCACGGCATTGACTATATCTACATATGTCTTACACCACCCTCATTTAACCTAAGACAAATAAATAAATTACTTGGACACTCACTTTCCTCATCAGAAACGAAATATCCCCAAATAAGCATTAAGTTCTTAAATATCTCAAATGTACATTTTTTAAAGCATTTCACCCCAAGCAAGGCGGGAAGCCACTAGGACACAAGGGGTTACAGAAGAATTGAAGCAAGATCAGATAGGAGTGATAGAGGAAAGGATGAGGAGAAGGGTAGGGGATAGATCAAGACAACTGAAGATATCGATTGACATTACATTTGAATAGTTGGAGATTATAGCTCTCAGGGAAACTGGAATAGGGAAGGCAGTTCCACAGGCGAGAGGTACGAGACATGAAGCTATTGGAGTAGAAGAGACGGCTACATTTAGGAGTTTCGACAGTGAAGGGGTGAGAGCGAGATGCCAGCCTCGTAGGGCGCTTGAACCCATGAAGTCTGGGAACCAGCGAATGCAGCTCCTCTGAGCAATTGCCATGAAAGTATTTGTAAAACAGACAGAGAGAGGCGACGGCGCGTCTGTGTGAAAGTGTTTGTAAACGAGATGCCAGATCGGGGCCAATTATATTGCATATCCGCCTCTGGATATCAGGCAAGTACCCCGAGGCAAACAGAAGGGGGTCCAGACCATATATGGCAGCAATACTCCATGCAAGGGCGAATTGTTGATTAGTAGATCTGAAGAAATTTCCTGGCACGGCACAGAGAGCCAACTTTCCTTGCGGTGGACGAAGCAGTTACTATCCAGCACAAGTATTGAACTAATAGTCTTCAGCTAATGTAAACTTGGTGCTTTAATAAGTTGACGTGTTCTACCTGCAATTGAAATGGGCTTTGCGCATTGGATTCTCGATTGTGCCAAGTAAAAAGCGATACAATCAGAAAGATGTGAAACAACCGTTGAAAATTGATGAATTTGTTATGAATGTTGCAAACTAGGGTGCGATTGGCCGGGATCAAGTGGGGTGCAGTGTTGCTGTTTTCGCGGGAGCAAAGAGCTATGAAGTGTATAGAGTCTAGCGGGTCGTAGAGACGCAAATGCTCTACGATCGATGACTCCACGGTATTCTACTACTGTGGTCGTTGTCAAAAACCGTGCCGATCATGCTTAGGTTGTTTTAGCCATGAGCGGCAATGTATTTTAAGATTTTCCGCTACCTACCGTCGCCATCGACGAAAAAGGCCTGAGATACACTTACCACATTCTTTTAGTAGTCTTCCATACATACATCTATTACAGGCAATAACGTCTATCCCCGCTAATAGACCAGATAATTGCCCTGTATTCATTGGAATCACACAATTAGAGATCACTTAAACAACCCGCATATAGCCTAAGAGAAATAAATAAATTCCTTGGACTCTCACCCAACATATCATCATCAGAAACGAAATATGTCCAAGTAAGCATTAAGTCCTTAAATAGCTCAAATGTACATTTACTCCCCAGCACAAGTATTGAACTTATAGCCTTTAGCTAATGTAAACTTGGTGCTTTAATAAGTTGACATGTTCCACCTGCAGTTGAAATGTGTTCTGCTCATTGGGTCCGACATGGTGCCAAGTAAAAAGCAATAAATTCAAAAAGACGTGAGACCACAGGTTGAAAATTGGTGACGTCTGATGTGACTGAAAAAATCAGGAAGAATTTTTGGAGATATCGTCAATTCCTATATGGGATATTCTTCTTTGAAAAGTACGATACACTGATGTTCAAAATAAAGGAGTTAGCCATACGAAAAGGACAGAATGAAAGACAAAAGTTGTCTGCAAATAAACTTCTAAATGACGAGTCACATGATCGAGCAGCAATTAATCAATCATAAAAGAACCAATCAGAGTAAAGACATTACGCGGGAGATGAATGATTATTCAAGGTCATCAATATTCAAGAAATTTATTCAAGGTTATTCAAGGTCAATTACTCCTGAAAGATAAATCAACGATAAGAAATGGCCGTTTTTTTTTTTTTACTGGGCACCCTATATGTAAGGAGTTATTTTTTTTTAATGTTTGGCTGAACAGGGAGTAGGAGAGATAGCGAAAAGTTAAAACAAAAATTAAGAGCTACAGCGGACAGGAACCTGTGGAAAGCAATGATCGCTAACGTCTTGAAGGGAAGCGGCACATCGATGAGAAGGAGGAGGAGGAAAAGAAGTATAAGACGAAGACGTAAGAGGAGAAGAAGATGTATAGGACGAAGAAGGAGGAGGAAGAGAAAAAGTATAAGACAAAGAGAGAGGAGGAGAAGGAGAAGCAGTATAAGACGAAGAGGAAGAAGAAGAAGTAAAAGACTAAGATGGAGGAAAAGATGAAGAAGAAATATAAGAGGAAGAAGAAGAAAAATTATAAGACGAAAAAGAAGAAATATAAGCCGAAGAAGAAGAAGAAGGACAAGAAGAAGAAGGAGAAGGAGGAGGAGAAGGAGGAGTAGGAGAAAAAATATAAGATGAAGAAGGAGGCGGAGAAGAAGAAGTATAGGACGAAGAGAAAGAAGAATAATATAAGACGAATACTGAGAAGAAGAAGAAGAAGAAGAAGAAGAAGAAGAAGAAGAAGAAGAAGAAGAAGAAGAAGAAATCCACCGGAGGGAAAGGGGTAAGCAAATAAAGAAATAGACGTGGGGTTAAAAAGAGTGACGAGCTAAAGTAGGAGGAGAAAAGAAAGGCGAAGAGAACGAAGATGGAAATAGACGAGAAATGGAGGAAGGTCTTAGAAAGAATGATAGACAGGAGGAGGAGGAGAAAGGGAAAGTGGGAAGAGAAAGGAACGGCATAGTAAGAGATATAAAGGAGGGTTAAAATGAGAGACAGGTGGAAGTGGTAGGAGAAAATGAAGGTGAAAGAAAAGAAGAAGGGAAACGTAAGAGAAGTAGAGGAAGGGTCTAGAAAAAAGAAGAAGAAGAAGAAGAAGAAGAAGAAGAAGAAGTATAAGACGAAGAATGAAAAGAAGAAGACGGAGAAGGAGATGATGAAGTATAAGAGAAAAAAGAAGAAGAAATATAAGATGAAGAAGGAGGCGGAGAAGAAGAAGTACAAGAAGAAGGAGGAGAAGGAGGAGGAAAAGAAGAAATATAAGATGAAGAAGGAGGAGGGAAAGAAGAATATAAGATGAAGAAGGAGGCGGAGAAGAAGAAGTACAAGAAGAAGGATGAGAAGGAGGAGGAGAAGGAGAAATATAAGATGAAGAAGGAGGAGGAGGAGGGGAAGAAGAAATATAAGATGAAGAAGGAGGCGGGGAAGAAGAAGTATAGGAGGAAGAAGGAGGAGAAGAAGAAGTATAAGACGAAGAGAAAGAAGAAGAATATAAGAATAATAATAAGAAGAAGACGGAGGAGAAGGAGATGAAGAAGTATAAGAGAAAAAAGAAGAAGAAGAAGAAGAAGAAGAAGAAGAAGAAGAAGAAGAAGAAGAAGGAAGAGAAGAAGAAGAAGTATAAAACGAAGAAGGAGGAGAAGAGAAAGAAGTATAAGAAAAAGAAAGAGAAGAAGAAGATGAAGAAGCAATGAAGGAGAGGGATGGTGATGATGATAATAATAATATTTTACATTTTTTTCTGTTGTCACGGTAAAAATTGCTCTACGATAGGCGACTTAATATTTGCCAAACCAAAAAATGAATCTGCAATATTTGTCGCTGAAGAAAAAAAATGTTTAGATTCGATTCTACTCGATATTGAAGACTTTTTTTGTCTGACTTGTTAACCATCACCTACCAACAAATAAATTTACGCTTTTGGAGACATCATTTAATCAAGTAAATATAAAAGACTTAAGCACAATATCATGTTGAAACATGTTCCCGCTCGATCACCGAAGTTAAGCAACGTCGTGCCTGGTCAGCACCTAGATGGGTGATCAGGAAATACCAGGTGTTGTAAACTTGGGGGGGGGGTGTAATGGCTCGAAATTGTTAATTGAAAAGCCGAGTTCAACTTCCAGTTGAATTAGTTCTATTCACTTTTGCGCAAACGCCTTTGCTCCCCAGTCTATGGATTAATTAGTAAGACGTATATCAGGAAACCATTATTTAACACCCCACCAAATTCTTACAATTTAAAAAAAAATATATTCTGGCTTTAAATATCCGGGAAAAGGTTGATAAACCGTAGAAAACGAATTAATCATTAAATTAAATACTCATAGGCAACGCGTAGATGTGTTTTAGATTTAGTTATATTCTCTGGAATATAAATTGTGTAGAAACTACCTTGGCCACAAAGAGAGGGATCAGTTTATACATTGATTGTAATATAGAATTGATCCCCTACTTTATATCCACATTATAATCTCTTGTTTGTTGATAATTCAGCAAATTAATCCATAGAATATATAAGCCATGGAAAACGAATCAATCAAACAATGAACTATTGATTATCTGCAAAGGCATTTTTTTTAGATTTAATTACATTCTCTGGAATATAAATTTATAGACACTACTGTGGCTACAAAGTGAGGGATCAATTTATATATTGAATTTAATGTAGAGTTGGTCCCCCACTTTATATCCACATTATAATTTCTTGTTTATTGATAAGCTGTAGAAAACAAATCAATCAATGAATGAAATACTAATTAGCTACACAGGCATGACTTAGATTTATTTACAATCTCTGGAATATAAATGTATAGAATCTACCATGACCACAAAGTAAGGGATCAGTTTAAGTAGTGATTGTAATGTAGATTTGTTCCCCCACTTTATTTCTACATTATAATTTCTTGTTTGTTGATAAGCCATAGAAAAACAATCAACCAATCAATGAACTACTGATTAACTACACAGGCATGTCTTTTAGATTTATTTACTGTCTCTGGAATAAGAATGTATAGGAATTATAGTGGCTGCAAAGTGAGGGGTCAGTTTATATATTGATTGCAATATAGAATTGATCCCCTACTTTATTTCCACAATATAATTTCTTGATTGTTGATAAGCAGTAGAAAACGATTGGATTATTAAATTAAGTACAGATAGGTAAAGCAGAGATGAGTTTTAGATTTATTTACAATCTCTGGAATCTGAATGTATGCAAACTATATTTGCCACAAAGTGAGGGATCAGCTTATATATTGATTTTTAAGAATTGATCCCCCAATTTACATCCACATTAACATTTCTTAGCTAATTAGTAAGACATTATGTTTAATTATCTCCCCACCTAAACCTTGGTCCGTAAATCCATTTACTGTAAAAAAAAAAACAAACTCATTCTTCTTCTTCTATTGCTGTGAAACTTCAGGACATTGGTGATCAATTAATAAGGAACAAATCTCCTAAAAATTTCCTCTCCTTTGTAGCTCTTAATAAATTTTTTTTTTTTCTTATCTCTCCTAAACCTTGGTCCTTTTTCATCCATTTACTCAAACTCATTCTTCTTCTTCTATTTGCTGTGAAACTTTCAGGACATTGGTGATTTAGCTCTCCACAATTTCCTCTCCTTTGTAGCTCTTAATAAATTTTGTCTTTTCTTATCTCTCCTAAACCTTGGTCCGTCATCCATTTACTCAAACTCATTCTTCTTCTTCTATGTGCTGTGAAACTTCAGGACATTGGTGATCATAGCTCTCCACAATTTCCTCTCCTTTGTAGCTCTTAATAAATTTTGTCTTTTTCTTATCTCTTAAACCATCCATTTGGTTCCTATGTCATCCATTTACCTTGGTCCGTCATCCATTTCAAACTCATTCTTCTTCTTCTCTAAACCTTTTTCATCCATTGAAACTTCAGGACATTTGATTTCAGGACATTCTCCACAATTTCCTCTCCTTTGTAGCTCTTAATAAATTTTGTTTTTCTTATCTCTCCTAAACCTTGGTCCGTCATCCATTTACTCAAACTCATTCTTCTTCTTCTATGTGCTGTGAAACTTCAGGACATTGGTGATCATGGCTCTCCACAATTTCCTCTCCTTTGTAGCTCTTAATAAATTTTGTCTTTTCCTTATCTCTCCTAAACCTTGGTCCGTCATCCATTTACTCAAACTCATTCTTCTTCTTCTATGTGCTGTGAAACTTCAGGACATTGGTGATCATGGCTCTCCACAATTTCCTCTCCTTTGTAGCTCTTAATAAATTTTGTCTTTTCCTTATCTCTCCTAAACCTTGGTCCGTCATCCATTTACTCAAACTCATTCTTCTTCTTCTATGTGCTGTGAAACTTCAGGACATTGGTGATCATGGCTCTCCACAATTTCCTCTCCTTTGTAGCTCTTAATAAATTTTGTCTTTTCCTTATCTCTCCTAAACCTTGGTCCGTCATCCATTTACTCAAACTCATTCTTCTTCTTCTATGTGCTGTGAAACTTCAGGACATTGGTGTCATGGCTCTCCACAATTTCCTCTCCTTTGTAGCTCTTAATAAATTTTGTCTTTTTCTTATCTCTCCTAAACCTTGGTCCGTCATCCATTTACTCAAACTCATTCTTCTTCTTCTATGTGCTGTGAAACTTCAGGACATTGGTGATCATGGCTCTCCACAATTTCCTCTCCTTTGTAGCTCTTAATAAATTTTGTCTTTTCTTATCTCTCCTAAACCTTGGTCCGTCATCCATTTACTCAAACTCATTCTTCTTCTTCTATGTGCTGTGAAACTTCAGGACATTGGTGATCATGGCTCTCCACAATTTCCTCTCCTTTGTAGCTCTTAATAAATTTTGTCTTTTCCTTATCTCTCCTAAACCTTGGTCCGTCATCCATTTACTCAAACTCATTCTTCTTCTTCTATGTGCTGTGAAACTTCAGGACATTGGTGATCATAGCTCTCCACAATTTCCTCTCCTTTGTAGCTCTTAATAAATTTTGTTTTTTCTTATCTCTCCTAAACCTTGGTCCGTCATCCATTTACTCAAACTCATTCTTCTTCTTTCTTCTTCAGGACATTGTGATCATAGCTCTCCACAATTTCCTCTCCTTTGTAGCTCTTAATAAATTTTGTCTTTTTCTTATCTCTCCTAAACCTTGGTCCGTCATCCATTTACTCAAACTCATTCTTCTTCTTCTATGTGCTGTGAAACTTCGGACATTGGTGATCATGGCTCTCCACAATTTCCTCTCCTTTGTAGCTCTTAATAAATTTTGTCTTTTTCTTATCTCTCCTAAACCTTGGTCCGTCATCCATTTACTCAAACTCATTCTTCTTCTTCTATGTGCTGTGAAACTTCAGGACATTGGTGATCATGGCTCTCCACAATTTCCTCTCCTTTGTAGCTCTTAATAAATTTTGTCTTTTTCTTATCTCTCCTAAACCTTGGTCCGTCATCCATTTACTCAAACTCATTCTTCTTCTTCTTCTGTGAAACTTCAGGACATTGGTGATCATGCTCTCCACAATTTCCTCCTTTGTAGCTCTTAATAAATTTTGTCTTTTCTTATCTCTCCTAAACCTTGGTCCGTCATCCATTTACTCAAACTCATTGTGCTGTGAAACTTCAGGACATTGGTGATCATAGCTCTCCACAATTTCCTCTCCTTTGTAGCTCTTAATAAATTTTGTCTTTTTCTTATCTCTCCTAAACCTTGGTCCATCATCCATTTACTCAAACTCATTCTTCTTCTTCTTCTTCTTCAGGACATGTGATCTGCTCTCCACAATTTCCTTCAGGACATTGGTGATCATGGCTCTCCACAATTTGACTCTCCTTTGCTCTTAATAAATTTTGTCTTTTTGTTATCTCTCCTAAACCTTGGTCCGTCATCCATTTACTCAAACTCATTCTTCTTCTTCTATGTGCTCTTAATAAATTTTGTCTTTTTCTTATCTCCTAAACCTTGGTCCGTCATCCATTTACTCAAACTCATTCTTCTTCTTCTATGTGCTCTGAAACTTCAGGACATTGGTGATCATGGCTCTCCACAATTTCCTCTCCTTTGTAGCTCTTAATAAATTTTGTCTTTTTCTTATCTCTCCTAAACCTTGGTCCGTCATCCATTTACTCAAACTCATTCTTCTTCTTCTATGTGCTGTGAAACTTCAGGACATTGGTGATCATAGCTCTCCACAATTTCCTCTCCTTTGTAGCTCTTAATAAATTTTGTCTTTTTCTTATCTCTCCTAAACCTTGGTCCGTCATCCATTTACTCAAACTCATTCTTCTTCTTCTATGTGCTGTGAAACTTCAGGACATTGGTGATCATGGCTCTCCACAATTTCCTCTCCTTTGTAGCTCTTAATAAATTTTGTCTTTTCTTATCTCTCTAAACCTTGGTCCGTCATCCATTTACTCAAACTCATTCTTCTTCTTCTATGTTGTGAAACTTCAGGACATTGGTGATCATGGCTCTCCACAATTTCCTCTCCTTTTAGCTCTTAATAAATTTTGTCTTTTCTTATCTCCTAAACCTTGGTCCGTCATCCATTTACTCAAACTCATTCTTCTTCTTCTATGTGCTGTGAAACTTCAGGACATTGGTGATCATAGCTCTCTCCACAATTTCCTCTCCATTCTTTTGTAGCTCTTAATAAATTTTGTCTTTTTCTTTTTATCTCTCCTAAACCTTGGTCCGTCATCCATTTACTCAAACTCATTCTTCTTCTTCTATGTGCTGTGAAACTTCAGGACATTGGTGATCATAGCTCTCCACAATTTCCTCTCCTTTGTAGCTCTTAATAAATTTTGTCTTTTTCTTATCTCTCCTAAACCTTGGTCCGTCATCCATTTACTCAAACTCATTCTTCTTCTTCTATGTGCTGTGAAACTTCAGGACATT